TCAGTAAAGGGCTTGGCAGAAAGCAGACAATTGAACTTGCTAAAAAATAATGTTCAGCCAATAAATGTAAGGTAGTCTCAACTGAAATAGCACAAAATAGTGTGTTAAGCGAGGATCCTACCCTTGTTCTTTATGTCTCTTGATCTGATACGTTGTTTGCCTTTATCCAAACATTTCTGTAGGGTTAAATCCCAGTTTTAGCTCTTAAACTTCAATTTTGGATATTTAATCTTCTAAAGTATAAAATTCGTCCCACTTTAGACCTACTTGAGAATTTGGAATTCTTCAGTTTGTTTTTATATTAACAACGATATTTTATATATTGCTAGATATAAGAACTCAGAATATTGGAGATTCTAATGAGGATTTTGAACTATATTGGAGATCAACTTGAAATAACTAAGTGGAAGTTGTTTGTGAAATTATATTGGAGTTTAGACCGATAAATTTTTTGTAGGAAGCTTTATGTAAGATCTTTGATCACCATTTGTTTTTCTTTTCAATTCGTTCCAAAATTTTCAAGTCAGCAACAGTATCTTTCCTAGATAATATTACTAATTAATTTGGCATGCTATAATTGTCAACTTACTTTTGAATTGGGTGAAGCTGAAACATTCTGCAGCAGCAAATGAAGGTTCTTAGTATAGCTTGAAATTTGAAATCATTTTCTAGAAGTATAACCAAGAATTCTTGTATTATTCTAACTTTCAGGGAATAGAAGCTATCTTGTCTTTGATAATTCGTAGTTATCTTCGCAATTTTCATTCTCATCACAATTTTTAGCTTAGGTGCTGACTTTTTATTTACTCTGCAGAGGGAAACTGAAACTGAAGATATGTTAGAGGGAGTGTCACAAGCCTTCATTCTTCATACTCTACCATTATGTGCGGCACATTTTTGCTTTACACCAGACATCACCTATCCATCAACCAAAGCTATCCAATCAAAGATCTAGTGGGAGAATAGCGTTTTGAAATAACTAAATAGTCTAAGGGGTGAGTTGATACTCAAAACTCAAAAGAACTGAGGTATATTCATGTTACCCTTTGGGAATCAAGCCAAACGAATGTCAAAGATACCAAAGTCAACATGGGATTGAGTGAGGGAGCTGTAGAAGCATTGAAATATTTTTCTCCTGGTACGTAGCACAAGCTGGCCAAAAACCAACACGAGGATGTTGTTTGGTCAGCTTACTCAAAATATTTGCTAAGTATTGAAGTTCATCCCGTCACATCTTTGTAATATTAGCATAGTGGCTATATACTTGTTAATTTGAGGCTGAGTAAAAGTTTAGTACACATCTTTTATTATGTATCATATCCTAATAGATATCAACAATGACGGAGCCAAGGGGGGACAGAGGGGGGCCATGGCCCCCCCTAAGTTTTGAGAATTTTAATTCATAATATGTAAATATGTGTGTAAAATAAAATTGGCCCCCCCTAAATTTTTTCAATTTTAGTTTATATTATGAGAGTTGATATATATATATATATATATATATATATATATATATGAATTAGTCATCTTTGAATGGAATTTCAATTTTGGCCCCCAAAAAAAAAAAATCCTGGCTACGTCACTGGATATCAACTTCATTTTTACTAATCACTGTACAAGACAGGTCATAATTTGTTCCAGATATGTCATGGTATATCTTTTTGGTACAGACATTTACTTCGAACTATGTAGTCAAAAATTAGAGATACACCAAAATTTCTATTCTCAAAGTATATAAAAGTTGAGATTTCAAGGTTTGAATCATTTATGGTCAACCTCTAAAAGACTTGATGTAGCAGCCCAAAAGGCATAGGTCTTTGGAAAATTCTATGGTTCCTTTAAAGAATCATTTTCTCAATGTCTATCACCTAATAATAATAGTCGTTATACATTTTAAATGATTGAAATTGTTATAATCTAAAGGTTAAAATACTTATTTCACCATTTAATGATAAATCTAACACAAAGATTTGGTACTTAAGAATGACTGTAGAATTCCTGTTATCTCTTTTACTTTCAAAAGATGTGAATCATGAATTTTACGTCCATCTTTAACACTAACAGTTAGAGTTTAAAATAAAAGACGATTTTCAGTCATTGCTCAAATTAGCATAGTTTTAATAGCCACTAGAGTAACCATCAGCCTTAGGCTGATGGCCACCACCAAGCCTTTAAGGCTTTGGTGGGGTGGGAGGCAAGGGTTCGAACCTTGCCTCCCACCAATTTGCCACAGTTGTGGTTCTTCAAAAAATCCAGATGGGTGCGTGGTGCACCCATGCACCCATCTGGTCTGGTGGTGGTTCTGTCCCCATCGGTCCCCCCATAGGCCCAGTTGGGTCTCCCCTCTAGTTAGGTTAGAATAGAGCAGAAATAGGAGTAGGGTTGACGATTGACAAAAAAAAAAAAAAAAAAAAAAAAAATAGCCACTAGAGTAGTAAAGACAACAGCCTCTCAAGTCTGAAGTACTAAAACATAGAGAGATTTGAAGAAACATATATAATTAAGAAATATATATAATTCTTGCATACCGATCAATAAATGTTCTTCCAACTTCCTCCTTCCCAGCAATAAATTTGAAGAAAACTAGACAATAGAATTTGAGGAAAAATCCACTTTTGGTCCTTCAACTTTGAGTTAAAGATACATTTCGTCCCCAAACTTTTAGACGCACCGCATTTAATATATGAATTAATTATTTTTGCCACATTTAGTCCAAAAACGGTAAATTGCTTAATTTGGAGGAAAAAAGTCATGTGTTTGGCACGTGGCCGTTAAGTAAAACCAATTTCTCAGTCAAAATTAACAGTCACGTCAGCCTTCTCCATCCAAATTGAATATTTTACTGTTTTTGGATGAAATGTGGTCCAAAATAATTAATTCATGCACTAAATGTGGTATGTCTAAAAATTTGGAGATAAAATGTGTTCCCATCTTAAAGTTCAAGGACGAAAAGTGGATTTTTCCCATAGAATTTGCAAAGGTAAGGTATTCTAGGAGTCATGTGAAGATGTAATCAAATGTTTTGCGCTTGACAGAAATTAGAAAGGGTAAATTGCCTTTGCCCTCCTATGGTTTGATGTTTTACCATATAAATTTCTTATAGTTAAAAAACTTATATATAACCCTTTTATGATTTGAATTAAAGTATCACCTTTATTTTTTTTTCTAGTTAAAACTAACGGTCAATAGTAAAAAATCAAAATCAAACTAATAAATTGATAAATTCACCCTTTTACTACTTTTTATCTTTTTTCCTTTTCTTTCTCTCTTTTTTACAGGAATAGAAGACGTGATTTGAAAAAATATATACTTTGGTAGACAAGATCTTAATTTTCTCCAAATACAAAAGAGATGGAAGGAAAATAAAAAAAAATAAATAAGAAACAAAAATGATGGAAGGAAAATATAAAACAAATAATTAAGAAACAAAAAGTACCAAATCTTTTTTTACTACAAATATCATTATAGGGTTTTAAACTGAATCTTTAATGGCATTTTCTAGTTCTTATTTATCTATTTTTTATTTCAATTTCTTCTTTTTTATGTTTGGAGGGAAAAAAGAAGTATTGCAAGAGTAAATTTGTCAATTTATTAGTTTGATTTTGACTTTTTACTATTAACCGTTAGTTTTAATGGAAAAACTAATAGTAACACTTTAATTCAAAATATAAGAGGGTTATATATAGTTTTATAAATAATAAAGGGGTTATATAATAAAGTACCAAACCACAAGGAGATAAAAGATAATTTATCCAATTCGAAAAGACGGAGGGGGGAATGTGCAAATTCAGTAGATTATGAAGTTTAATTAGGAATTAAACAAAAAATAATTGCAAATAACAACTTTTATGAATCATTAGAAACATTTAACTTAATAAAACAGTCAATTCCTGAAAATATCCTGCTTAGGAAATCGATCCAAAAAAATTTTTTCTTGCGTAGGAAACATCAGACTCTCTGTTCCATCTTGGAGCTCCTCTACTGACTTCTGAAATGTCAGCAGCATCTACTGAATTGTACCCACTGATCTCATAGACTTTGCCATGCACAAGGAAATGGGGTCAGTGGCCTGTCCAAATTAGGCATAAAAACGCTCCCTGAGAGATACATCTTACCCCCAAAAGACAGACTTGACCAGAACAAAGTAGTTCTTGAAGAGTCGATACCAATTATTGATGTATCCAACTGGGATGATCCAGAAGTTGCAGGCTCAATCTGTGAGGCTGCAGCCAAGTGGGGTTTCTTTCAAATCATTAATCATGGCATCCCACTTGACATTCTTGAAAATTTAAAGGCAGCTGTGCACAAGTTCTTTGACTTGCCAAATGAGGAAAGGAGAAAGTATTTGAAGGAAAACTCACCTAGTCCCACTGTGCATTTGAACACTAGTGTTAATCCTTTAGTTCACAAGGTTTGTTGTGGAAAGATTATCTTAAGCATTTGTTTGTTCCAGATGATCAGACTTCACAATTATGGCCTTCGGTGTACAAGTAAGCAGATAATTTCTGGATCTATTTCTTGTTTTGCCTTTTCCTATCAGTCAACAAATAGATTTATGTGGAGTTTAGTCAAGTCTTATGGTCATGTGTGTTTTCTTCTGTTACATTTCTATCCAGATTGATCTACAACGTCTGTTTCTTTGAAGTATACGTCTTACTTGTTCCATGAAGAACTTTAGTCTTCCAGACTTACCATTGCTGTGACTCAACCTTGTTTATCAGGTTTACAAAATAGCAACACAGTCAACACTAGCACTGGATCACACACTGAGAAAGAAGTTTATTGTATTGCTAAGTGTTGCTTCTATTATGTACATGTATCAATTATAGCTGCTTGACTTCACTTTGGTATTCAGGTTCTACTTTTTTCTGCATCCTCTTAATTGGCTAATGGTTGATTCTAACTTGTTATAGAGATGAAGTGTTGGAATACATGAAGTGGACTAAACCTATAATGAGAAAGCTACTCAAGGTGCTATAAAAGGGACTTAATGTGAACGAATTTGATGAATTGAAAGAATCTCAATTCATGGGTTCTTTGGTTCTCAGCCTTGCTCACTATCCCATATGTCCACACCCTGAGCTCGTTTCTGGGGCTGGTCGACAGTCTGATATTTCGAGTATCACTATCCTCCTTCAAGATGATGTAGGTGGCCTTTACGTGCAAGGAGCCAGAGCTGATCAGTGGATCCATGTAAATCCTGTTAAAGGGGCACTAGTAATTAACATAGGCGATGTACTACAGATTGTGAGCAATGATCGTTATAAGAGCATTGAGCATCGGGTCAGTGTTAATGCAAAAAGAAACAGGGTGTCAGTTCCTATATTTGTAAACCCTGTAGCCGATGCAGTTGTTGGTCCATTTCCAGAAGTCCTGGAGAACGGAGAGAAACCAATCTATAAGCATCTTGTCTACTCAAGACTATTTCAACTACTTCCTTAGTAAAAGGCCTGCAGGAAAGCAAACAATTGAATTTGCCAAAGTATGATATTCATCAAATAAAGGTAATCTCAACTGTTATAGTACAAAATGAATACTGTGCCAACTGTCAAGCAAGAATCCTTCCCTTGCCATGTCTGTCTGTCAATTTACCTTTAGCCAAACATCTATATAAGGTTTGGTTATCGACAAATGTTTTGTACCTTCTGCAATCTTTACAATTCTAACCTGAGTCTAAAAAGGTATATACTAGCCATTGCAGGTTACACATCTACTTAAAGTTTGTTCCCTAAATTTCTTTGCAGGTGTGGTATGCACCAAATATTATGGGGCAATAATAATGTGGATGAATGTAATTAAGGTAGCCTCTACCATAATAGTGTTAATTGAATGTTATGTTAAAAAAAGGTCCTTCAATCACCTATCTGTCAGTTGATTGCAATGCATCTGTTCAAGGGTTTATATCTCCATCCAAACATATTTGTAATCTCAGCACAGTGGCCATATTCCTGTTAATTTGAGGTAGAGTAGAAATGTCCCTGTACATTTTTTATAATCCACCATATTCTATTCGTTTAACCTCATCTATTCCAGAAGTACACAAGATATCTCAAAACTAGGTAGAGACTGTAGTTCTGAAACATTTTGGTACTCAAAACTTATTGGAAAGTATGTAGGAAAAAATTAGTGGTACACAAAATGGGATACTTTAAGAGTGTATATAAAAGGTCTAACATTGACGTTAATAATCTAGAAAAGCTAATGTATTAGCCCAAGGGGCATACCACTTTTGCTTTCAAAAGTATACAAGATATGAATCTTTGCAATTAATGGTAATAGTTTAAAGTAAGGAGGATTATTCATTCATCGATCAAAATTAGAAGAGTCATAACATATAATGGAGTCGCAAAAGGCAACATCCTCTGCAGTATTAGAACATGGATAGAGCATTCACACCACCATTGGTTTCAAAGAACTTGAGTACATCCTTGCAATAGCCAATATGGGAGAAATTTATGCAATATTTAATCCTTAAATGCGGATTTAAAATAAAATTGTTCCTACTTCCTATTTCTTCCTGGCAACGATGCTGAACAAAACTAGATAATGAAATGTGCAAAGGCATGATTATGATTCTAGGAGGCTTGCCAAGATGTAATCAAATGATTCAAGGCTGTAACAAGACAAAATTGAAAAGTAACTAAATCTTGAGATGAAAGGAGTGGAATTGTGCAAATTGGGTAACATATGAAAGTTGATTGAAAATTAACCAAAGCCTAATTACAAACAACAACTTTTATGACCCAAAAAAAATCATAAGAGATGTTCATATTCAGGGTAAAAGAAAAAGGAAAAGTAATACTGCAAGAATGTAATCAATTAAGCATTCCTCAGCCAAATTTGAACTTGCACGCACCCTTGCTTGGCTATTCCTGCTTAAAAGCCAGCAGACTGTTTCATTTTGGGGCTTCTATAACTAGTTTCTGAAATGTCAGCAGAATCTATTGAATTTGAACACACTGATGTCGTAGACTTTGCAGTAAAGCAAGGAAATGGGGTCAATGGCCTATCAAAATTAGGCCTAAAATCCATCCCTCATAGGTACATATTACCCCCAGAAGAAAGACTTAACCAGAACCAGATAGTTCTTGAAGATTCAATACCAATCATTGATGTATCCAACTGGGGTGATCCAGAAGTTGCAGCGTCAATCTGTGAGGCTGCAGCCAAGTGGGGTTTCTTTCAAATCATCAACCACGGCATCCCACTTGAGGTTCTTGAAGATGTACTGGAAGCTGGGCACAAGTTCTTTGAGTTACCAAATGAGGAAAGGAGGAAGTATTTGAAGGAAAATTCCCCTACTCCCACTGTGCAGTTGAAGACTGGCTTTAGTCCTTTAGCAGGAAAGGTTTTCGAGTGGAAAGATTATCTTGTGCACCATTATGTTCCTGATAATGTGAGTTCAGACTTGTGGCCTTCTGTGTCCAAGTAAGCAGCACAAAGCTCGGATCTTCTTCTTGTTTTGGTTTTCCAATATCAACCAAGAACTAGATTTATGTGGAGTTGTAGTCAGTTTTGTCGTGTGTGATTTTTCCAGTCAAATTTCTGTCCTCTTTTTTTGATAATGTAATTAGGTTTACATGGTTTGGTAGATTCTTGAAAATGTTGAACTTAACCAATTCAGGAACACTGGAATCTGATAGCTTATAACTAGGGGAAACAGAAAATTGTAATGTAATGACTGCTCTTGTATTTTGACTTTTCATTTTACCTATTATTGTTTACGTCTAGCTTCTTATGGACTAAAGTGAATTCCAAATTTTAGCTACATTTTGCCTCCATGTCAAGAATTTATACACCAACTTTAAACCACAATGTGTACTACAGGACTACGGTTTTTTGTTGTCAAATTTTACACAATTCTTTATCTTACTGCATTTGACATTCACAGCAGTTGAAAATGAGGGATATACATCTACAAAGATGACTTAAATATCTGAATGTCTGTTCAGCACGTCATACTATTATCCACAAATCAATCAAAATTTATTAGAATTCTGTGTCAATTGGGAGATTTGGACAGAATTTTGGACAACAATTTTCTCTGAGCATCTCTCTTACTATCATATAGTGACATGGATGAGCATTAGAAATTTAGGTATAGCCAAGTTAGGCAGTGATTGCTGAACCTGGCCTTAGTGAACTGGTTGGTTTTTATAGCCAAATTCCTGCGTGTGGAAGTAATGAGTGCTATTTCTACACAAAATGCAGGGCAACAAGGTTTTAGTACACCACTTTTACTAGATGAAAAGAACTGAAGACAACCTAGCTATCCGTATGCTTGATAAGCTTGTCATAGTTGCTGAAGGATCCGGTTTTCTGTTTTAGGAGTATTGAATTGAAACACATAATTTTGTCATATCATCATTGTCTAGTTGTTTCAGTTATTCAATTCTCGTTAAAGAAGATATTACGAGGATAGCCTATATGTAAACTTAGACAAGAAGCAGTCTTTTTCTCTCACTCTCTATCTGAAATTGTGATGCTTTCCAGTTGAGGGCTATTGCTGCACTAACAAAGTATGCCAACATTGCTTTTTATGGAAATATACAGAGTTGAGCTGACAGAATAAGCATTTGATTATGAAATTAAGATCTCTCAAGACAGGTAATGAGGAAAGGTATCTATTTGATGTATAGAATAATAGTAAATAATTAAATGAAGAGAGTGCGATAGTATTAAAATTTTTGGCAAATATGACCATTTGGGCTGCATTAATTCATTGATATGTTTTCCATTTTGACCAGAAGCTGAGAGAAAGTTGGATACTTTCTCTGTAAATGTTATAATCAAAGTCACAGCAGGCATGAAAATAGATAGTTCCCAAAAGCTAGCAGTCATGCGCCTGGCTTTTTTCTTTGCCAGAAGTTTTGGACTTGCTGAAACAAATGACAGTGACTACTTACAACTGAATCGCCACTTTTACGCTTGTAGCTGTTAATAACCTGTGTGAGGTACATTTCTCAATTGTCAGTGTCTATGGAACTATGCAAAGTGATGCAGCCCATAAGAGAAGTCTGGTAGACAAATTTGAAGTTGTGCATTTATCATCAGCTTTTACCTACTTTGATTTTTGAACCAACACTATTTTGCATAGGAGAAAATTTACTTGTCAAATTTGTAGAGGTTTCGGTATTCCCAGTCAAGAATAGTATATGCTGTGTTTCATTTGTCAGAAAGTACAACCAAATTGTAAGTCAATATGAAAGCAATCTGCATGAGGCTTGTTTGTACAAGCATATTTAAGTGCCTGTCATATCTATTACACTGAGCGTAGAAGATAGATGAGAGGTTCTTCTGAGGTTGACAAAAGTACTGATGTTCTGTCTCTTTAAACTACCACAAATAAAAAGACATTTCTGAAGAGATGACGAGGCTTGTATTTAAGAACTTTCCTGGATAGTGCAAAATTAGACTATACTCTCCCGGCTACCTTTTTATTCCAATGGACACTGATTGTGAGTTCTGAATCACAGAAAGAGATTGGATCAAACCTAACAGTATAAAGTGCTCCCGATCTTGTACTTCTATACCTCATCTGGTCTTTATGGTGGAGCAAAACTAAAATGTTATTGAAGGAATTTTCAATTTCCCGCTGAAATTGAGAGTGATTATCTGTTTCATGTAACTTTGTCGTGCTTACAGTGTATCCTGCCTTGAACTGATTGATGAAGGCCAGAAACCTTAAGCACAGTGCATTTTAACCTGATACAACTAAAGAGTTTATGCAGCACTTTCTAATACGTTGTCTTTTTCAAAGTACTGCATTTCTAGTATAAGTGATCACTCCAATAATTTTTCAAATCCAGTGCAATGCAGGAAATAGGATATTCTTACTATGGCACTATAGTCAGACAGCAAATCCTAAAATGACTCTTTTTTAGTAATGTATAAGAAACCTCTTTCAGATGCATGATGTATCTTGATTGGCCAAGCTTAAATGGGATCACTTTCTTGAGAATCCGAAACCTGATTCCAGTAATGACAGTAGCATTCACTCCTGGCAATGACTTGACCAGTGAGGTCTATATCAGGTTTTGTAAAATGCCACATTAACACCCTCTAATACTGGATCCAACATTGAGAAACATGTGTATTGTATCGCTTAGTGTTGCTTCTTTATGTCATGTAGCTCCTTGTATTCACTTTGATTGGGATTTCTGCATTTTTCTGCATCCTCATCGTTGGCTAGTTATGTACTCTTTGTTACAGAGATCAAGTGCTGGAATACATGAAGTGGGCTAAACCTGTCATCAAAAAGCTAGTTGAGGTGCTACTACAGGGACTTAATGTGAAGGAATTTGATGAATCACAAGAATCTCAACTCATAGATCGTACAACTATCAGCCTCATTCACTATCCCATGTGTCCAAGCCCTGAGCTCGCTTGTGGAGCGCGTCGACATTCTGATATCTCTAGTATCACTATCCTCCTCCAAGATGATGTAGGTGGCCTCTATGTGAAAGGAACAACAGCTGATCAATGGATCCATGTATCACCAGTCAAAGGGGCACTTGCAGTTAACATAGGCGACATACTACAAATTGCGAGCAATGATCGGTATAAGAGCATTGAGCATCAGGTGATTGTTAACGGAAGGAGAAACAGGGTTTCAGTGCCTATATTCGTAAGCCCTGCTGCTGATACAGTTGTTGGTCCATTTCCACAATCCCTGGAGAATGGAAAGAAACCAATTTATAAGCATGTCATCTACTCGGATTACCTCAACTACTTCTTGAGTAAAAGGGATGACAGAAAGCAGACAATTGAATTTGCTAAAATATGATGTTTATCCAACAAAATTAAGGTAGTCTCAACTGAACCAGCAGAAATGGATTTTAGTGTTAAAAAGCAAGGATCCTCCCCTTCTCCTTTGTGTCTTTTTGTTAAAATACATTTCAGATATCAATGCAATCGACCAACTTGATGCCGTATTTATGTTTGTTTATCCGAGCATCTGTTATCTGTAAAACCTTAAAATTGGCTCTTCTTGCCAAATTTGTGTTCAAGAACTAATGTTTTTGTACCTTCCATCATGTTTCCGGTATCAATGGTTGAACAGCACCTGTAAACAAAGATCTCTACAATATTATTACGAACCATATGTGTTGCAAAATTCATGTTGGACTGAAAAAAAAAAATTAAAAAAGGGTCTATGATGAAACTGCATAATAAATTGGAATTGGAGGTCTGGTGATCAAATAAGGTATGCTTCAATTCATCTGCAAAAGCTTAATCAGTACATAAGGGTGGTTTCTTTTCTTTTCAAGACACAAACAATTCTTGATGTAAAATGTTTAACACCCATCTATATGCCATAATGAAAGTTCAAAGGTGGTGATGGTCATCACTTTTTACAAGGAAATGATTGTTTACTGTTCAAAAAAGAAAAGGAAAGAATAGCCGATGAAAGATATTCCTGATGTCCTTGACATCAATCGAAGAAGACTTCACCCTGGATTTCAAAAGATCTTAACTACGTTCTGCAAATATTGGCAACAGCTGCATCGACCTGTTCCCAAAACATAGATTATGCAGACAATTCTAGGCCTGAGCAAGGAAATATCATAATTGACTTGGGGAAAAGAAGCATAAAATCACATTTCTTTTTCCTTTTTGTGCAAAAAATACAAACAGCAACGATTTTCCAATCTTTTGCTACAATCTGTGTGAAGTAGATGTTTGTACAACGAGCCCACTCCCCAAAAAGAGGTAACAAATGGCATTTTTCTACTCTTAACGGGAGGGAAAACTACAGCTACATGAATATCAAACAAAACTGATCTTGACCTGATTTTCCTAAAAGATGGCACAAAAATAAAAAATACAAGGGTAGCCTTGTTTAACAAGGAAAAAAAAAAGTAAAACAAAACTATCACTACTTCTCTTTCTTTGCCAATGATTCTCCCTTGTGTTCACTCCCAGCAGTGACTACAAAACCTGCTCCAACCTGATTAAAGCAAATAGAAAGTTAACTAAGACACTCCACACACCCACAAACACATGCAGAAAGGAGGGAGAAAAGAAGACAGGGAGACGTTACCTGACAGTCCTTCAAAACAACGCGTTCTAGGAGTTGCACGTTACTACAAACAACAGAACCTTGGATTGAACAACCATCTCCAATGGTGACATGGTTCATAACAATGGAATTAACAATCTGCAAGCGAATAGAGAAAAGGTTGTCTTTCAGACCCCAAGAGGGAGGAATCAGATCATTAAAATTCTTTGAGCTCCTAGTCAAAATGTGAATCTTCTTTAGAATAATCAAGAACACGATCATAATGCATACAAAATTAACTCCGCATTTGGGAATTTTGTTGTGGAAATTCTTTGACAGTAAGTTTCTACGAATAACAGAAATCTAGTGATACCTTAACATTTGAACCTATCCGGCAGTGACGGCCAATAACTGACTTCTTTACACTGCATTTATCACCCATCTGTGAACCTTCCCCTAGCATACACTGTGGTCCCACCTGTATCAAATAAATGGCTCAGTAGATATTTTCAGCTCAACTAGATGAATCCACAAGCATGCAGATAATGCCTAACATATGGAGGAAGTACTTGAAGTGCATAACTTGATAGGCATATGTTTAGGGAAAGTACAACTATATAAAAATATTGGGACTCACAGTTGTCTTTGAACCAAGCACAGCAGATGGATCAATAATGTTATTCTGAGCAGAGAAAGAATAGCCAGAAATGTGACTTGCATCCCCTATGACCTGAGGTAATTAATAGTTACTGTAAACCAGAGCTCAAGCAAAAGAACATCCAAGTTTATGAAAAGCTGAAGCAAAAGAACAGTGAAGTTTATCAAATGCTGAAGCAAAAGAACAGTGAAGCTTATGAAGAGCATCATTTTTAGAAACGTACATCTCGATTTATGTCAGAGAATGCCTGGATGGTATTCAAACGTACACAATAGTTGCTCTTGCTGGCAATATAGACACAGCATTTATGAGTTTTCCTTGGACTAAGAGAGAAACCATTTGGACCCAAGGCATGCAATTCATGAAAACTTGGGGTAGATGCATTAGCCAGAAGCTGAGACAGCACAATTTTGGGATTCTGGGAAGCATCCTTATCATTCCCATTTTCTTCTGATTGCACTCCATTTAACAACAGTTCAGATCTCTGAGGATTCATCACAATAAAAGTCACAACTCCTAAAGGGCACCAACAATAGATTTGGCATTAGAATAAGAGGAAAATATGCTATCAAAACAAACCAGCTGGCTTCTAACTAGATAAGGCAAAACATCTCGTCTTAGGCTCTGGAAAGCTTCTTTTTGATTCAGAACCTCTTGCAAAACAGACCTAAAACAAAATGAATAGTGAGTTTCAGACACATCTAGAGCAAACTGAAACCCCTCTCCTTTCCACCCCCCAACCCCTAAAACCAATTGCTTTAAAGCAAAGAGCAAAACCTCAAACCTCTTGAAAGCATACATATGAGCGTCCATTAAATCAGCACGAATATCCATCTGCATGAGGATTTGACAAAGAGGATGCTTATAAGATAGGGTTGGATGTAAATGTATGATTTTATGAAATTTCCAATTGGATGATGACAAATGTTAAAAGAGGAAGGGAGAAGGACTCAAGATTACTTAGTAAGGAGAGTATATAAACAAAGAGATCTTCTCTTTCTTTAAGAAATACAAAGCTTTTTCATCCAGCTAAAGGGACTAGGAATGTATCAACCATTACCCTGGGGATAGACTTTTTCTTTATCCAATACATCAGGTTTACATGTTCCTTCAAATAACTGCCAATGCTCAAATCATAAGTAATCAAACTTCACAGCAGGAAGAGCAATACTATTGGAAAGGAGAAGGAAAGGGGATTGCATTCATAAGTGCAAATTCTTCTGCATACATAAAATCCTTTTGCTTTAACTGCCAAGGAATCTACAGCATACAGAAACAAAATGGCTAAGCCAAAGCACCATCAGTCCCACATGAAAAATGACCAACAATATGACTGAATACATAAAAACAAAGAATTCAGCACCTAATCCAGCCAAAATCAAGTTAACAAGAGGGGCAAAAGGAGGGAGCAGAATTGAAAAAGGATAACTTGAGGATCCTCATCTTAGTAATAGAGTGGTGTTCCATGCAACGACCAGTGCATTCTCTTTTACCTGGCCTACTTCTCTGAGGATGCTCTTCTGAACTCGTACATCTTTCTCAACTTCAACTCCTACAAGTTAAAAGGAAATACAAGATAAGAATTTGTCACAAATTTACAACAAACAAACAGACAAATACATGAAAGGATCTCACCAGATGCTACATGCAACAAAAACTGCTTTGTGGGGTCCAGTCCTATTATGTTATAGTGTTTCTTGGCTTTGTCCTTTCCGCCAGAGGAACCTGATTCTGTTGATCCACTAACAGGATTAGAACAAAGCATTGTAGTGACTACTGCATCGTGTCGTCGATGAGTAGCAGCTACAGCCCCAGGTGGAACATCACAAACAAGATCACCGCTCACAACCTGCCAAATTACTGGATTTCAGTTATGACGTGAAATAACATACTAAAATATCACATTCAGTTTCTAGTGAGAGGCCCAACCAAGATATCACTAGCAGTCAAGTGGTGATCAATAGCTCGCAGAGCACCAGCTGTCCCAATTTCTTCAGGAACTGCTGCCACCTGGATTTTTTTAAATGTCAACAACAGACATCACAAATTCATCATGATGGTATTCACTGCAGATTATACTTGAGATATTTTTAGGTCAATTGTGCTTATCGATTAAGCATAAAGTGTCCAAGTTAAAATAAAATTGACATGAAGAAAGATCAAATAGAACAGGACGGTCATCCAGATCTATTTCTACACTAAAAATCAAGGACATGTGGACAGTCTATAATAGCTTTGTCATGAAAATCAAAATCAGATTTAATCAGGTGGTTGTGGGGAAAATAATGATCAGAAAAATAGCGCCCCAATGTTAACAAAAAAGTAAATTTGGATTCATTTTCACCAAACAGAGAATCCATACACTCCATCTCTATACACAGAGTCTGAGAAGTTTTTTTCTAAATTTACTACTACATTGAAGGCTTCCTTTCAGAAACAAAACCTCCCAACTTGGAAGACTTGGGTGACGTATAGTCAATGCGGAGAATCAATCGGCTACATTGAGGATTTAAAAACAAAAAAAAGGGGGGACTACCCAATTTAAAAGATCACAGTACATGTATTCTGCCATGTCAAAAATTCTTTGATCATTACCTACCATATGTTTCTTTCAACTAACTATACATCCAAGCTCTGGACTTATTGAGAAAATATATCTGATGCTGACATCCAATAGTCCACACACAAAACAAACAAGATCTTTTACACTGCCATTGCAGTATATCTTTTTTGTTTCTTCCATTTTTTCACTTTAACAAGTTTTTCAGAGTTCGGGAACACAAATATGATACGACTACATTGAGAATGAAATAATCAAAGTGGGCAAGAAAATAAATATTCCAAATATGTCAAATGTGAAACTGCATTGTTACATATGTTATTTATAGATGAACCAGTAATTCAAGGAAGGCATCCTCTAACATGGTCTTCTAATATACATGCCCAAATAAAGCAGTCAATAGCTTAAAGACAAAGTGAAAACAACCCTCCAAACTTCCAAATTCTTTCAATTCCGTTGATATTGATTTAAAAATGATGGCTTGTAAAAGAACAGTATGATTACAAGTTCTTGCCATTACTAACTCAGAAGCCAGAAAGCTCTCCATTTTATGTTCTTTGTTTTCCTTTACTTCTTTCTCTCTTCTGGAATCCCACCACTACTTCAAAGTTCTAACCCTTTTGCAACAAGGCATATACAGTGGGCATTGCACCTCGAAGAAATAGCCAAATGCCTAAAGAACTTAAAATGTTCTTTAGTAAACAGCAACTCTTCTAGCCAAATGCCGAACTAACCTTCTAAGATCAAACAAAACCATGTTCTCATAGACATATAATCATCCTTCATACAGCACTCTCAAAATACAACATGTTTTCACTTGACACAAATTCAAATTTCTCATATGTACAAAACCAAACTAAAATTGATATACAACCTACAAGCTAATAGGATGAGGTGAAACTCTAAATTCAACCAACAATGCAGTAATTG